AGAGATTTCCCGATCGGGACTACGGAAATCCACGCAAAGGTATAAGTTATCGTAACAGTTCTGGGCCAACGCTAAACGACATTGATTTAAAAGCTAAATCTTTAATAAAAGAAAAGGAAGCTGCTTTGAGCAACAATTCTTCTTCACAGCCACAAAAGCTTGAAGATCAACCAGGTTGGTTCTGGGGCTTTTTTTGGTCTTAGTAGTGAACATTATTTTGTTGCGAAACCGTAGTCACGTTTTGCAGGATAAACGGCTATATAAGATGATTCTGATCTGGTTTTTAGTAAGAGAGGATGCTCCAACCTTATTGAAATTTCTTGGGTGGAGTTTTTGGGGGGCGTAAGGTTTACAACAGGCTACAGGCTTCTAATAACAGTGTAGTTCAAATTATACGTACTGCATAAAGTATCTTCTTTATTTGAGTCGTAAGCCTTATTGACAGCATTTCGACAAGTAATCTACAGTTTCAGAACAAAGGTATGATGATATACTGTTGCAAATGCAGAGGCGACGTCGTAGTCCTGAACTAATTTTACATCTGCAGGAGCTGTCACGCTCCAGGAAAAGCTCTGTTATTACACCAAGTACGGATGGCACTTGCTCACCTCTTGTGAAAACCCCAAGATTAGGGCTTAGCCCTCTTGTAGGCAGTAAGTTTCTAAGTTACATCATATTTCAAGTTCATCGTTCAAGGCTATAGGGAATTTGCTAGTTAAACAAAATCTGTTATTATATCTCGCTTTCTTTCCCTATCAATGAGTGACGGAAGTGGGTTCGAAGGCTTTTCTTGGTCAGTGATATAAAACTTTCAGATATAGCTAAGGAGGATGAAACAGATTTAATAGAGTCAGTGGCTCTGCTTCTTTTAACTTTGCCTCCGGCAACTCGACGACGTTTGCACTATCTTTTAAGATTTATGGAAAAAATTTGCAAAAACCATTGTTTAAGGCTGAGTCCTACCCGGGAGAACCGTTATGTGGTAATCAAATTTGTTTAATGTGCACTTATCAGTTGGGTAGCGTTTACTCTTTCAGTTGAACGTTTTAGTTCAAATTATTGCTCTCAATGTAGTTACTTTGCGGCTAAATGTTTTTAATTTTTGAAGGAGAAGCTGACATTATGTCTGTAGCCGAATCAAGTTGAAATTCAAAAAAATCAGATGGATTTTCTGTTTCAGATTCTGGAGCGTTTGTCTGAAAGTGTTCTTACTCCTTCTGATTTAATAAGTCCCGTTCAATGCCTGCACTTGGTCACTTTCCTTGTTGACAACCAGGATGAGGTTTTCTTAGTTCCGGAAAGATTGAAAACAGAAGTGGAACATTACATCAGCGATCGCCAAGTTGAGCTTAAGGTAAATTGAGCAGTGGTTTATATTGTTTGCTTTTCCAATGTGCTGGTGAGTATTAGTAAACCAGAATTAATTAGTATTTTCTTGGAGGGTAAAGAAAATGATGAAGAAGCAGATAATTCTATGGAAAAAGATCTATCTACTAAGCAGTACTGTGAACCGATCAAGATTAACGAGTACGATCAGCAAAAGGAATTTGGGGTTGAAAGGCATCTTCTGAATCTCCTGGATAACATTGTGAACAACGAGACTATCACACTGGAAGAACGGAAGAAGCAATTACGCAAAGTATTCGATTTGGTTTCTGCTTCCGTAAAACACTAGCCGTTTTATTGTTCACTTTGAATGTGAGTGCCGATTACACTGGAGTACCGGTTCAAAAATAGACGGACTGTTATACTGCTTTTAACTCATCCGTCGTCTGTGGTTTATAAGCTAATTTCAGTTTAAAAGGACGTATCCGGAAATTTATGCTAAGCGTTTCCCTTCACCAAAGCCGAGGAAGCCAAGGACTCCAAGTTTCTTAGACCGGTTGCGGAACCTCAACTTTAGACAATAATTGATTCATAGCGCCGGAGCGTGAGTTACTTCAATATCTAGCCTTGCTCTTCTTGGTTCTCTCATCTGACGTACAGTTCAGGCATTATGCGACAGAAAAGTAAAACATGAATTTTTGTAACTTTATTAGATCTGCATGCTGAAAATATGATATCATCAATAATTAAACTGTTGGAGATGTTTCTTTAGAAATTGAGGTCTGCTTCGTTTGCAGATAAACCGCGGAGCTTGGGAAGAGAACATAACGATTTTTCGAAAAATAAAATCACAGAATACTAGGAATTCAGAAAAGAGGATTATGGTTTAGAAGTGGAAAGCAGTTAGGCTTGAAAACTAAGGGTTTTATTGGTAGAAAAAAATCCTAGTTTTAAGCATTCGCAGGTACATATTCTTGAGGTCAGTTGGAAACTTGCTGTTGATCAAGTTTTAAAAAATATAAGCGGTATCAAATAACATTCTGTAGCTTTTTTTATCCAGCCCTCGTGTTTGATGCAAAAAAATTGCTCTGCTATACCACATGTTTTTTGATCGTACTTTAGTCACCGTTCGTTGCTTATTTTAAAATTTTTTTGAGTAGGTTGAGGTTTTGTTCTTTCTAAATCTTTCCTCGTGCTCCTTGCACTGGATATGGGTTTCGGTGTATTAGCCGGCGTTGCGGTTGTCCGTCTGAGTTTAGACTGTATTGAACAGTTCCGAACCGCTTGGGAAAGCCAAAACCTAAAGGGCTGCAGAAAGAGAGGGAAGGGATTTCGGTTGTTTGCAGTCCATTGCGCTTGAAATCCCCCACCGTTGCTATAAAGTTATCAGCTTATTGAAACAGAGTTACCCTAATTTACTCACCTACAGTTATTTTTCAAACCAGGACAATTCTGCTTTGTTCCAGTATTTCTGCTTTGTTCCAATATTTTAAGTTCGATGGACTGCAAACAACTAAAATTTCTTCCCTTTCTTTCTGCAGCACTCCAGGTTTTGGCTTTTCCAAGCGGATCGGAAAAGTTCAATACTGTCTTAACTCAGACGGACAACCGCAACGCTGGCTAATACACCGAAACACATACCCGGTGCAAGGAGCATGAAGAAAAAGATTTGAAAAGAACAACACCTCAACCCACCAAAAAAAAATAAAAGAATCTTGCTTGAATAGGAATTAGCAACAAACGGTGACTGAAGTACGATGAAAAAATATGTGATATAGCAGAGCTTTTTTTTT